TAAACACGTGCTCCGCAGATATCACCTGATTAGAGTAATCATTGATAGGATGGATGTAAAGATGGATTATGTTCCCACAGATGATAATGTAGCCAATTCTCTGACAAAGGCTGTTTCTCAGAGAAAACATGATAGTCATTATGAGGCTTTGGGTATACGACTTAGGTCTGATTGGCTCTAGGCCAAGTGGGAGCTTGTTAGTATATGGATGTCCTAGAGACAATCTTTTGATTAGATTAGGACATAAGTGGACCTTTGTATGGTCGCAAATAAATAAAAGCATTCTTTATCCTGTTTCATATTTTGTCTCGATATTACTGTTAATATTATATATGAGTAACTGGATAAACCTCTTGGAATAAAATAGGTATCTCTTGAGTATCTGATATGAGATCACGATCATGAGGATTCAAGGATACTGGATGTTTATTCCTAATTTTATGTTCCTAGTCTAGAGACACTGAGAATGAGGATCAGTGATCTCGGGTAAGACTAGCACGACTTATCTACTTGTATTCGGATGCAAGGTAAAGACCTCATGAGCTACAGATATGGAGATGTCTTAGCTAAAGTCGTGGGTGGATCTATAAGGGTATAGCTCGCACTGAACAGACCCACAAAAGAGACTCTATGAGGAAATCTCACAGAGAGTATCATTAGAGTAGTCTCTCACATGTCTATTCTTTAAAAGTTCAAATATTAATATTTTTTCTAAAAACACAAATTACTTGGCACCACCCGCAAACCCTTTGTTGGAAATGGACACCAATATTATCTAACATAACATCAGACCAACATCATATGATTTATATTTTCAGTTGTGATCATGTAAAATATTCTATGGTGGGGCATTATTATGCCCTATATGTAACACCCCGTTCTAGAACCGGTTTGTTAACATGCATTACATACGGCATTAAGCGCAGTTACAATCACAACAATTGAATAAAAGTACGGATGAATTTTTTCCTTTTTATTTATAAACGTTTTTGTTTAAAATCAATTCCGTAATTAAAACAATTCTCATAAATGTGATCATAACTTAAACTATATGTGGACCACCTAATGTAAGTTTTATTTAGACCATACGTTGCTACCATAGTGTTTCAAGTAGTCCCCTTAGACCAACAAGGCTTAAAAACTCATTTTTATTGTTACTCAACACTAAACACCTCCACTTTTTAGTTACCTAAGAAATTTTATACTACTTATATGGTCCTCATCTTCCAATATGTTATAGATATCTTCGTTAGCTACGCGTGTGTTCAAACCGCGCACCTATGAAGCACCGACACTTCAAAAACCCTGACGTGTCGTGTCCGACACTTCCTGACACTCTCGGACACTCCGACACTCCCCGACACTCCAACACACGTTATAGAAATTCAAAAAAAGATCCAAAGGTTAATTTGCGTTGAGTTTTTAGTTTCAATTATTAGATTCGTTGGATTACGATTATCATTTTATTGAGTTTAATATAAATATTTGGGATACGTTATGTTTCTTTGCAAAATTTATGAATATTATAAGTTTAGATTCATTTTTTTGTTAAATTATTGAATATTAAATATAATATACACTACATAAATAAAAATTATTATTTAGTATCAAAACGTGTCCTAACGTGTCGAAATCTAACATTTTTTAAAATTAACGTGTCAGAGTGTCGTGTCGTATCGTGTCCCGTGTCGGTATCTGTGCTACATAGTCGCACACAATTCGGAGCACCGTAGTCCAAGTTATGAATTTTCTAAGAAACGAGTACTGAACCCATTGGGCCCAGCGCGAACAGCGTTAGAACAGCGCGAATAGCGCCACGAAACAGCAGATTCCCAGATTTCTGGCACGAACAACGCCAACCTGGTGCGAATAGTGCCAAGAATGCGTTTTTTCATTGTATGTTGGCGCGGTTAGCGCCACCACGGCGCTAATAGCGCCAAGGATCTGGAGATTACACCTAACCTTAGTACTTTACCCCTAACTGGAGTTATACTTATCCGATTGACGCAATCTTGGTCTCGTCAAAAAGCTAAGAAAAAGATCTATAACTTCCAGTAGGACACAAGGTCCAAATCCATCATATAGGATATGAAAAATGGTCAACAAGACATGATATTCTTATATTTACATCGATTCTCAACTCAAAGGGGTTTTCTTTCACCTAATAGAGATTATACCATCACTTCAACGCATGATTCTTAACTATTTTAAGACACACATTTATCAAAATAGGCATCCATGCCCTTCCATCATATATACAATAAGCACAATATTACACAATCTCTAAATGTCTTTAATACGTAACTATGAGACTTAGCTACAAAACACTATGATCAAATCATTGGCTCCCATCAACAACAGAGACACCAAAGAAAGAGAGCATAGGCTAAGTCCACCAAAATAAAGCATGACTTACATATAACAAATAGCTTTCAATTACAAATCCTATACATAGTAACTACTAATGACATGCATAACCAAAATAGTGCAATATCCTCATGTATCAATCTAGTCCAAGTATGGCCACTTGCCACCAGAGGCTCCTGCAGCATCTGTACCTGAAAGGGAGTCCCTACAACACGGGGTGAGATCTGCGAATACATCTCAGTAAACCAGGGGTCCTTGGAGCATCTCTCCACCCTATAGTTCACTCACAGTATATTAACAACAATCTGTAAATAATGCAGTAAATACATATCCATGCAGTGTGTAAAAATACCTCCAAGAGACATCCCTCGAGCTCTCATGCTGTCCTAAAGATACTCAGACGCAAAATAGTCCTACTGACCAGTTAAACTACCAAGTATGAATTACAGATTGTCATGCAACATACAAAACATAGGGAAACACCATCCTATGCCACACAAAATGCATACACATATGTATAACAAAGCATTAAACTACCTTATTGCGTATATAACACTATCAATAACCACTACTCATTCCGGGCTTGGTGGAACAATAAAGGGATCAATTCCCAAAATCCGAAGGCTTACCTCAATGCTTCCAATCTCAACCTTTGTTCTTCACCAACTTAAACAATCAAGCTTTATAATCAATACCTACATCAAGGTACTAGACAATCTATCAAGTCAATCTAATGAATACCAATATATTCATCAACCAAACAAATATATTCACACCACAATAGGCATGAACTTACCAATTCAAGTGAGCTAATCAAGCTTCATGGCTTCCTTCAATGGTTGGTCCTTCAATGTTGGTCCATAAGGCTCAATCCTAGCCATCACATGGACACAATTAACATCCAACCAAACCATTGTTTACCAATGCAAGAAAATCCACAAACCAAGCATATATTCTTGCAAATTTTAAAGCATAATCAAATGACTATCTAAGTTCATTTCTACCGTTTATTTATTATTTCTAACAACTTTTACAAAGGATTTAAGCTTAATTCAAACTCAAACTCATACAATCCAAAAGCACTATTCATCATCTTTCTCAATCTTACAATCTCCATGAAAACTAAGTTTAAGGAATAAAAACTTACCCCAAAAGATCACACAACCAATGAATGTTGATCTCTTAAGCTCCCCTTGAAGGAAATGCCTATAAACTTCTCCAATCCTCAAGAATTTCGCCCCTCAAACAAGCTAAGATCTCCACCCACAATGGTTCCCAACTAACAAGGAGTGGTGGGTTGTGAAGAGGAAGGAATTTGATGCAAGTTTGCCTTTGTAATGGATTGGTTTGGGTGAGAGATGAGTGAGCTAGGGTTTTTGTCTTGAAAATGGGTTCTCCTCCCTCTCACTCTCAGTTTTGTCGAAGAAGAAGAAGAATGGAGTGGGTTGTGGTGTTTTACCACTTAACTTAGGAAAGTTATTTTTACCGGGTAAAAGCTTATCTATCTAGTTAACTCTGTTCTTTTTCAAACTTTTCCTAAAGGTCTGAAATATTTTTCTAGGAATATTTCTACTCTTACTTATACATTTTGGGTACTTTTGCCTACACCTATTTTTACCTCATAATTTTCATTAATTGCACTTTTTATCTCAAAAGTGGCCTTAATTCCTTTAATTAGATATTTTACCTAATTTAATCCACTAATACAAGTTAATTGCCTATTACCTACAATTAATTAAATCTCATGACGAAGGATATTATACTATACCAAATTATTTTCAGTACCGTACTAAGTATTCGGTATATCTTTATTAAATATGATAAAAAATAATACTTTTACACTACTTTTTTTTTGGTAACATACTTTTACACTACTTTACTTTTATATTTATTTTCACACATATCTTATATTTTTCTATTTTGGAAAAGAGAGATTGTAAGAAGGACATGATATTTATACATACACTAAAAAGTCATATGTCCCCACTAATGAAAAATTCATTCAATTCATCACGTATTTTTTATTTCTTATTTAAATTCTTGATTGAATACCTTTGGATTTAGATATCCTGTAAAAAAATCGTAATTGTCCTTGTTGATATCACATTATTTTTTTTAAAATTATTTAAAAGTCTTTTAAAAATAAATCTTGAAAATCTTAATTGAATACCAATCGAATTTCATAATATTCTGATATTTGTTTTTTTCCTTAAATTTTAATTTTTTTTGTAAATATCTTTTTTGATCCTTAACAAAAAACACGGTCCCCACTTTAGTCCCTTACAAAAAAAATTAGTCAGTTGGTCTCTAACAAATTCAAAGTGGACCCATTTAGTTAAAATCGTGGTCCCTCACAATTTCAAAAAAGACCCATATTAGTCCATCAAAAGGACTAAAATGGGTTCACTTTGAAATTGTTAGGGACCAACTGACTAATTTTTTTTGTAAGGAACTAAAGTGGGGACTGTATTTTTTGTTAAGGACCCAAAATGGTATTTACTTTTTTTTTTTAAATATAAATATTTATTAAATGATAGAATTCAATATTGGTGAGTTAAAATCGGAAAGAATATCCCATTTCATTAAAGGAGTGAAATAGAAAATCAATCGAATATTTGTTTAACGTTAGAACAGATTTGGTCCCAAACAGAAACAGGTTGATAAGAACCTCACCAAGAACCTACCACAATCCCTGCGTGTTGCAAGAAAAAATTGGCACCTGATTCAATCCCCTCACTGCGCAAGCTAGATCCATGCTTTTCTTGCTCTCAACTCACTTTTAAGGTTTATTCCTCAATCTCAAATCTCTATCTGTTCCTTCATCCACTTCTCCATTTGTTCCGCAGCTGAATAATTAGTTGTCAATTTGATGCATGCAAGCTAACTGATTTTGTAAATTGATGATGCTGTTAATAAAATCAGAATAGTATGCTGTTCATTGAGTTCCAGACATGTCATAATTTGTTGAATGTATTGGCTTCTTAATGCTTTGTCTCATTTCACGGTGGCTGTTTGATGAAATGAGGAATAAATTTTTTATTTTTTTTTGGGGTGTACGGGTGGAGGTTCTTTCTCTTTATGAAGTGTGATTTTGGACCCTGTTGAAGCTCTTTTAGAGATTAGAATTTTAATGGGTAATTACTGTTACCAGATATTTCTAGTGTTAATTAAGGATGCTAAAAACTGGTTTTGATGTTAAATCTGTTGGACTATGGACTGATGATGTTGATGAACGCTTTTTGGTCTTAGATTTAGTATTTGCATGCCTTTAGCTTATTATTTGATTTCTGGTTGGACCATGTGTAAATGGAAACTTGGAGATGTTCTTGAGAATAATTTCTTTGTCACTTCCCCTGATATTTTGGTCTGGGATAGTATTACGTTTTTGGCTTTTAAGTGGTGTGCTGCTCATTGCTGCTTCAAGCGTTGCTATCTTGGATTTGCATAGAGATTTGGAAGCGCCTTGCTCCATACATTTTAGTATCTTTTTGTCTTTTCTGTTTTGGAGGATTTATTATTTTCCAGTTAGTTATACTTTGAATATACATGTTTCTTCTTCTTCATGACTTCATATTAGTGACTATTGCCATTGCTCAATTTAGAAGTAAGTTGATTTTTTACCGTCTCATGGCATGAGGTCTCATACTTTTGCTTTCACTTTCTCATTCTCTATACCTTACTTCGTTCTTATTTAAAATACTCTCTTTTCTGGTAAGTTGGGAATGGTTGGTACAGGAAACAACTTTGGTTTGAGCATTTTCCTTTGTCTTTAAAACATAACTTAAAAAAGCATATTTGGTAATGAACATGATTCTTGGAAAGGAGCGGACAGTGAGAGGAGTTCTTTGCTTGGATTAGTTCTTGATGCTTGCCTTGCAAATTTTCTCTCAATTACATTATGACATTGACACATTTATAGCTTCAATTTGGTGTTCTGCTCCTAGTTGTTTCAAAATAATAGCCATATCTGATATGTAGATAGACTAAATTGCCTTGCTGCATTCTTTTTCTTTTGTTTTCCCATGTTCCATATTCAATCCTGACTCTTATGTTTTGTAGGATATATAATATAAATAATTTTATAAAAAAAAGTTCTACATCTCAAATTCTTTTGCTGTATAACCATAACTTAGTTCAATAGTAATTGGCAACATTTTTCTTAATATCAAACATAATGGTTGACTATTCCGTTTGGATTTAGACCAGACTTAAATTTCTAATTTTTTTTTAAGGATTCAATTGAATCAATTAATTTTTCAGTAACTAAAGTTAAAAGTGGGTCAATTTTCAGGATCAGAAGTCTAGTTTAACCTCACCTTTCCTATTGAGAAGTCAGTGAAAGAAGTGAAAGCACGGCATGAATAGCGCTGGGTCACTCAAGTCTTCAAGTTCTGAATTGGATCTTGATCGACCCAACCTTGAGGATTACCTGCCTTCAGGAGTCACCATTCAACCAGAACCTCATGGAAAGCTTCGCCTGTATGCCTTCTCTTTTTCCATGACTTGCTTTTACTGTTATTTGGATACTGAACATAAGTGGGAAGTGAAAAGGAAGCAGTATTTTCTTCACTTGATATTTTTTCGAGAATGGAGTTTTAGTTGTGATTTTAATATTCCTACTTTTCTTCTTTCTTCTGGAAACGTTTTCCAGGCATGATTTGCTTGACATTTCTCCTACTTTATCTGAGGCAGCAGGTGCTATTGTAGATGTAAGATTTTTCCTTCATCTTTTATTCTCTGCTTTCCTGTTTTTGTTGCTTTGATGTATTGGGAATTATCTTTCAGAGAACCAACTATAATGAAATTATTATAGAGAGAACTTAATGTCAAACATGAGTTCTGCATCTTTTAAAACTGAACGCCGTTCTGGTGCCACAAATATCCTTATCTCTCAGCTTTTCAGTTTCAATCGCATGTTTGTTATATATATATATATATATGGAACCTATTAGAGATATTGTCGTGTTATATCTTTAAAGTCCCTTTTTGCACATTGGCTAGGCTTTGGTGATTTGCTCACCTGTTCAGAATTTTTTATGTTGGACAGGACTCATTCACGAGATGCTTCAAATCAAATCCTCCAGAACCATGGAATTGGAATATTTATTTGTTTCCTTTGTGGTGTTTTGGCGTTGTGATTCGATATTTGGTTCTGTTCCCATTAAGGTTAGCTTATGCCTAATGCTATGCATCATACTGTAACCATAACATCTGGCTACTGTATTGTCCACCTAGGTAATTTTAGATGCTCTTTATTTCTTGTGTAATTAGGCAGTAGGCATTGAGACTAACGGTATATTAAGAAAGGGTTTAATGTTTTTCATGTTGTAGGAGATAAAATTTTATCTCCTACACACAAAAGTGTGTGGGGCCATGTGGGATCATGTGAGGAGAAAAGAAAAGAAAATATAATATGGGCCCCACACACTTTTATGTGTGTGTTGGAGATAAAATTGAGATAAATTTTATCTCCTACAACATGAGAAACATTAAACTTATTAAGAAAGTATAATCATTAGCAAGGTAGTCAAAATTGCATGCCAAAATGTAGGATCATTCGACCTCCAATTGTTTCCACCATGTATACGACAACCCAGTTGCGGAATCGTTAATTGAATAAGATCGCACAAGATCATCAAGCAAAATCTTAAAAATAGAAGAAGGGATTGTGTGATTCCTGCTTTCTGTACATTTTTCAAAATACCCATTAGTCTGAGAAAAATGTGAATGTGAAAGAGAAGAGGATAAATGGAATTGAACTCGTAGTGGGAGGGGGAACTTTGAAGGGACCGGCATTGCGCTTGCGAGAGAGAAAATCAACAATGATGGAGCGGTCATCATCTGAGACCAAGTCAGTGGCGAAGAGAGCAATAGCTTGTGAGATGAGAGAGTAAAAGAAGGGGAATATAGTCTTTTTCATTCTGCAGAGACCATTCGAGAGAAAAAGAGAGAAGTCTTTTTTTCACTTTTGAATATCTCAGCATATCCATGTTTCTAGATAACTTTGACTAACTTCTGCTACATGTTTCCACTTTATTTATTTTCATTTTTTTATTATTTAAATTTTTAGTTTTTGACTTCACTGCTTTTTATTTTTTTCAATTATTTAAATTTGCTGTTTAAATTTTTTTATATAATTAATAAAAATTAACTGTTAAATTATGATTTATAATTCGAAGTTTTTAATTAAATTCTAATAATTATTTAAATGTTAATTTTTTTATTTATGTTAACTTATATATATGTGTGTGTGTGTCTATATATATTTATTAAATGTAATTTTAGATTTTAAGTAAGATTTTTACGATTTGTGTTGATGTCAAGATTTACGATCTTTCTATCCCTCCCGATCCTAGGTAAGAGCTGAGTTTGACAGTCACTTTGATCATTAGGTTATGATTTGAACTTTGACTTTCACATCTAATTCACCTTTTGTATTCGGCTTATTTGTCTCTCTTTGCTGTTTTTCATGTTAATGAGTTCCTTTACTGTAATCTTTTCTGGCGAAGTGATGGCATCCTATATGACCCTGCAGGGTTCTAGTGTTAACAATAGGATGGATAATATTTCTTTCATCCTTCATTCCAGTGCACTTCCTATTGAAGGGACAGGACAAGTTGAGGAGAAGTATTGAGGTGCATATTCAACTTATTCTTTCTTCGTTCCATCTTTTAATATTTAAATATTTTCTTAACATTGGTTTCTCTCTCTTTTCTTGCTGCTAAAACTGTAGTTAATGACCATTCTAACAGCATGAAATATAAATGACGTCTTTGAATTTTTAACTTTCTGGTTCAGATTGCCTTAAAGCATAATAAATTTTCTGGTCCTCAGTTGTAGTATTGGTACTGATCTATTAGAATTTGTATGATATGCTAATAATGTTTCTTAAAATAAGGTGTCTATACTTTAGGTTGTGTTCAAATTTCTGGTTCACTTTTATTTTTACTATCAAAGATGAAAGTTTTTCTCTTGAAAGAAGAAAATCAATACCCATTTAATATTCACGTTAGTTGGGAAAAGGAAAGATTGTTGAATGACTGCATTTAAAATTCAAATGATTAATTAGACTAATGGAACAGTTGTCAGATGTTCAATAATGAAAATCACTAGTGGACAAGGTGTCTTTTTTATTGTCAGAGTTCCATAAACTAATTTTGGCCGACTTATTGGTGGATATAATTCAAATTTGTCCTCTATGTATTGATTTACTTGATTGACGGATGCTGTATGCAATGGAGTGCTTGGTATAGGTTAGTTTCCTACTCTAGTTTGTCATGTTGTGTACAGTCTCTAATGTGCTCTTTTCTCCCTTGTCTGGGTATTAACTATTATTTGTCATATTAACTATTGAAAAAGGTTTTCAGTATATCGATATTGAATAATTACATGAGGAATGATGAGTATTTATACAAGAAAAAATAGCTAAGCATGACTCAGCTATGACTCACCAAACCTAATCACAATCATAAGAATGACTCAGCTATGACTCACTAAACCTAATCACAATTAATTCTAATTAATTACAATTAATCCTAACTAATAGGAAATAAAAAACAATCAACCCTAATTAATCTTAATTATTCCTAATAAATAAAAACGGAAAAATATTTGAATTTGAATTCTGATTTTCTACACTCCCCCTCAAGTTGGGAGGTAAATGTTGATCATTCCCAACTTGCCAATCAAGTCTTCAAAGGCTGGCCGGTGTAGGCCCTTAGTGAGAATATCTGCAATCTGCTCTTTGGTAGGAATATACACCATACATACACTTCCATCATCTATTTTTTCTTTGATAAAGTGGCGATCAACCTCCACATGTTTTGTTCTGTCATGGTGAACTGGATTTTGTGCAATACTGACAGCAGCCTTATTATCACAATACACTCTGACAGGTGGGGAAAAAGAGATCTTCAATTCCTCAAGGAGTCTTCTTAACCAAATTCCTTCACAAATACCATGGGCTAGAGCTCGAAATTCTGCTTCTGCACTGCTCCGGGCAACAACTGTTTGTTTCTTACTTCTCCAGGTCACAAGATTTCCCCAAATATAGGTGCAATATCCTGAAGTGGATCTTCGGTCCAATGCAGAGCCAGCCCAATCTGCATCTGTATATATTTCAATCATCCTCTTGTGTCCCCTTTTAAAGAACAATCCTCGACCAGGGGTGTTTTTGAGGTACTTCAGAATTCTATAAACTGCACTCAGGTGTTTTTCCTTAGGAGAATGCATGAATTGACTAACCATGCTAACTGCAAATGCAATATCAGGCCGAGTGTGAGATAAGTAGATCAACTTCCCCACCAATCTCTGATACTGCTCTTTGTCAACTTCTTTCCCATCTTCGATTCCCAATTTAATATTGGGTTCAACTGGAGTCTCTGCTGGCTTGCATCCAAGCATTCCTGTTTCTTGTAACAGGTCTAGAATATATTTCTTCTAAGTTAAAGAAATTCCTGCCTTACTTCGAGCAACTTCCATGCCTAGGAAATATTTGAGAGATCCAAGATCCTTCAGTTCAAACTAATTAGCTAAACATTTCTTCAAAGGGCTTATCTCCTCACAATCATTACCTGTGACAATTATGTCATCAACATAAACAATGAGAATAGCAATTTTACCACCATTAGAGTGTTTTAAAAATAAAGTGTGATCAGTCTGAGCTTGGAAGAATCCTCTTCCCTTAACAGCTTGAGTAAACTTCTCAAACCACTCTCTAGGAGATTGTTTAAGACCATAGAGAGACTTTTTCAACTTGCATACTGAATCGTCTCCATTTTCAAAACCAGGTGGTGGATCCATATAAACTTCTTCATGTAGATCACCATTCAAGAAAGCATTCTTTACATCTAATTGTTGCAAGGGCCAACCAAGATTTGCAGCAAGTGATAAAAGAACTCGGATAGTATTAAGCTTGGCAACAAAGGCAAATGTCTCTTGATAGTCTATCCCATGAGTTTGAGTGAATCCCTTAGCAACCAGTCTGGCCTTATACTTGTTGATGCTGTTATCTGCATTAAACTTTATTGTGAACACCCACTTGCAACCTACTGTTTTCTTTCCTCTGGGTAATGCTACAGACTCCCAAGTTCCATTTTTGTTGAGTGCATCCATTTCTTCAAAGACTGCATTCCTCCATTTTGGATCATCAAGTGCTTCTTGGATATTTTTTGGTATTTTTGTACTGTCTAACATAGTGTTGAAAGCACGAAAACCTGGGGACAACTTTTCATATGTGATATGATGAGAAATAGGATGAGCAGTACAAGATCTAGTACCTTTTCGGAGAGCAATAGGCACATCTAGGTTGGCTGTATCAGTGTTGCTGGAACTAAGACTCGAGTCAGAATCCTGGCAGTCTAGAGGCTCCTGAGGTGATTCTCGCCTGCTGTAAAACTTTCCCCATTTCCCGGGAGGATCTCCATTATCTGACACATTAACTCCCCCTGTCTTTTGCATAATGACTCCCCCTGTCTCCAACGGCAAAGGCAAAACAGAATCATTTGGTTTCCAAGACTTATCTTAATCAACCCCAATAGACTCCCCCTGAAGAGAAGTCGAAGGAAAAAAAGATTGTCTCTCATCAAATGTGACATCCATAGAAACAAAGACCTTACGAAGTGAAGATGAGTAACACTTGTAGCCCTTTTGGTTAGGAGGATATCCTATGAAGACACATTTAATGGACTTAGGATCGAGCTTGGACCTTTGATGGGGAGGAACATGTACAAAAGCCACACAGCCAAACAACTTGGGAGGAAGGGAAGAATGAGCCCGGAAAGAAGGAAAGGTGTGGGTAAGACAAGATAAAGGAGATTGAAAATTTAGGACACGAGAAGGCATCCGATTGATGAGGTATGCTGCAGTCAAGACAGCTTCCCCCAAATATTTAGGGACATGCATGGTAAACATAAGAGCTTGAGCAACTTCAAGGAGATGTCTATTTTTTCTTTCAGCCACCCCATTTTGTTGAGGGGTGTTAGGACAAGAACTTTGATGAAGAATACCATGCTGGCTGAGATAGTTTCCAAGAACAGAATTAAAATATTCAGTACCATTGTCAGTTCGAAGAATTTGGATAGAGGTCTGAAACTGAGTTTGAACCATAGCATGAAAGTTTTTAAAAATGGATGCAGCGTCAGACTTATCCTTTAGAAGGTATACCCAACATACCCTAGAGTGATCATCTATGAAAGTTATAAACCAACGAGCACCAGAGATATTTTTTTCACGGGCTGGACCCCATATCACTATGAATCAAGGTAAATGGAGAAGAATCATGATGGACTCTAGGAGGATAAGAAACACGAGAATGTTTTGCAAGCTGACAAATATCACAAGAAAAAGAACTGGGATTTTTATTGATAAATAAGCTTGGGAACAACTTCTGAAGATAAATGAAATTTGGGTGTCCTAACCGACGATGCCACAACAAAACATCATTACAATCATCAGACAAACATACCGAGTGGTTCATAAAATTTTTTCCTTCACAAGAATTTTTTTCTAAATAATAAAGTCCTTCTTCCTCTCTAGCACTGCCAATCATCAGCCCCGAGTCCTGTTCCTGGAAAATACAAGCATTGACAGAAAACTTGGCAACACAATGTAACTCAGACGTAAGTTTGCTGATAGAGATAAGGTTACAAGTACGAGAGGGAACATGAAGGACTGAGTTCAAAGTAATGTGTTCAGAAAGTTTAATGGATCCTTTTCCAGCAATAGTAGAGAAGCTGCCATCTGCTGTTCTTATTCGTGATTGTTGATAGTAAGGGGTATAAGAACAAAATAAGGTTGCATTACCTGTCATATGATCTGAAGCCCCTGAATCAAGAATCCATTGACTACTATTATCAACATGGAACGCTATACCTTGTTGAGCAACATTGCTGGATGGAAATTTACTTTCAATCAACATGGCTGCGTGTGGTAACGCGTAGGGCGGACGCTCCGTCCTTTCTCTAGCGCGTGGGGGCGCGTGGCTCAACAGAATCCGATGGTCCTTCTTGAAACTTGTAGATCGGCTCCTTCTGTTTCGAATGGTGCGGATCTTGGGTCAGAAAATGTCGCCGGAAAAATTTTCCGACGACTGCTGACGGTGGCTGACGGCGGTGGAAAGCTGGGATTTTGCCTTCTACAGTGATTGGTAGCCTTACTTTGCTCTTGGGACTTTGTAGGAAGGGAAAATAACCTTAATAATGGTTGGAGGTTGAGTTTTCCGGCGTTGTGCCGCCGGTTTGACGGTGGTTGTGGTGGCTGAGTTTTCTCATGACCAACCTGCTCTGATACCATATTGAAAAAGGTTTTCAGTATATTGATATTTAATAATTACATGAGGAATGATGAGTATTTATACAAGAAAAAATAGCATGACTCAGCTATGGTTTCAAAACTAATAACAGAATGACTCATATGACTCACTAAACCTAA